GAGATCCAGAGAGAGAGAAGCCAGCTCTGTCGGGGCTCAGTCTCCAACTTGTTTCCTCTCCTGGGGCTTCGGGAAGTGACCGTGGCGCTGGGTAAGAGACCTAGATGGTGCTTCTTCCTCCTCCCACAAGCTCGGGTCTCCTTTAGCGGTAGCCTCTCTCCCCTGTGCTGAGAGTCTCCTTGGCTTGGTCTGGAGGCGAGACCTGCTCTGCAGCTGTGCTGCTCTCCTGGGTTCCCCGGTGGGGTTGGTGGAAGCCCCGGAGGCGGCGCCTGGGCAGGGAGGCGCTGGGGTGCGACCTGGCTTGGGGAGGGGGGTTGCAAAGAGGTGGTGTCTGCGCGATTTGCTTCATTGTCAGTGAATTGTTTTGTTTCTCTTCCGAAGCAGGTCAGCATTGACCTTGCAAATTGCTTAGGGGGCCGGGCAGCTGCTGCAGAAAGCCACAGAGTGGCCCCTAGCCAGAGCAGACAGCACTGTCATGACCCCCAGACAGCCCCGGGCGCCGAGGATGGGGTAATGGCTGGAGCCTCCTCCCTCCTTTAACTCCTTCTCAGCAGCTGCATCTCACTGCTGGAAATGAGGAAGAAAGAAAAGACCATGCACCCCCTTTCTCCATCTCCCCATCCCCTCCTTCAGAGGCCAGTGAGTACAAAGTTGTAAATAACTGCTTCCTTTGAAGCAGGTGGAGACCTCCTCCCTTCCTTTAAGATTACTGTGGCGATGGGCCTGAGTTCCTCCACAAACTTGGAAGGCTTTTCTGGCTTCTGTGAGGGAAGCCTAATGATTGCCTGCTTCAGTCCCAGGTGGCTGGGAGACTGCCCACCTTACCTAGCCTAGACATTCACATGCCCTGTCCCCTAGCACTGGTGGTACTCTGTTAGGTCCAGCCATGTCCTTGGGAGGGAGGAAACACCTGATGGTGTATCTAGGGCTGGATTCCCAGTGTGCTGCTTCTCTGGCTGTGGCTGCTGGTGGCATAGGCAGGAGGACTGGGGGAGGGGTGGCTGTGGGCTGGAGAGAACAGGGGGAGAAGTCAGGATTCCCTCTTGGCTGTTGGGGCTGGAAGACCCACAGATTCGGGCTGTCTGGAGCTATCATGAGGGCTGGCTGAAGCTGTTGTAGCCCTTCTGACCCCTTAGGGGAAGGGACGTATGGCTGCTTAATAGGGGCTTGTGGAGTTGGAGGCACTGCCATGCCTGACAGTAATTAGAACATCAATAATACTGATTGCTAACATTTTTTAGTATTTAAATATGTGTTGGATCTTTGGCTGAGGGTTTAGTGTGTATTATTTCACAGAACTTTTACATCAACTTTAACAAAGAAGACATTACTGTTGTCCTCGGTTTACTGATGAGGAAACTGAGGGACAGTAACGTTAAGTAATGTGTTCAGGATTACAAAGCGATAAATATCTTAATTGAGAATTAAGACGCAAGAGACCTGATTCCAAAACCCCTCACCTTAGGCATCAAGTCTTGCGGACTCATTAGAGAAGATTTTGCACCCTTTTCTAGTAGGCAAGTGTAGGTACCCTAAGAATGCTGTTACTTGGTAATATGTTTTGGAAAGCAATGCTCTGGCAGGGTAACAGGCTCTTGGCCTCATCTGTGCTGCTTGGACGGCCTACCCATAACACCTCCCCTGGCCATTGCCTTTGGAAATGATGTCTGAAAAAATTTCACTTTGCCACATCTGTTTCACATGCAGGTTGAAACTGTACCTTTTAGAAATAGCTCTTGCCTTCATTTCTGAGAGCATGGTGTCACCCTGTATTGAAAATTTTAGAATACTAAAAGCTCAGATCTAGAAGGCTCTAAAAATCCTTAAGCTTCACTTTTCCACCCAGTTCTGGAATTTGTCCTAAGCATCCAATTTGTTGACTGATTTTTTGTGTGTATGGTACTGGGGATGGAACTCAGGACGCTGAGCTTGCCAGGAAGGTGCTTACTTTGCTGAGCTCTCTCCCCTGCCCCTGTTGACTGATTTCTATGTGTATTCCCTAGAGTGATGAAGAGCTCACTGGGGGGCTCTTTGTGTCCTTGTATAAATTGGATTGTCAGAAATTAATCTGCATTATAAGCCAAAATCTATCTCCTTCTAAATTCCACTCATTGGCTTTTTGGAACTATCTAGTACTCACTTCTTCAGTTACTTGAAAAGAGCAATCATGCCCTCCCCAGAGGCTTCTCAGATCTGGCAAGATCATAAAGTGAGGCTCCTCATTTATTTATTCTGAAGATGAGGTTTTACTAATATGGCCTAATATTCCACTTGTTTGTCAGCTGCAAACTAGTGCTACTGAACGTTCTGAGGCAGCCCGGATAAAGTGTGTTCTCCTCTTTGGAAGAGCTTGGTATATGACGCTGGACTGCTGGAAACAAAGAAAATGTCTTTTGTATTGCTAAAGCCCAGCAGTTGGTTGGTGCTAGTCCTTCTAACAGCCCACAAAGTCCATAGCAGACAATAGGCTTGGAGGCACATTCAGAGGTCCAGATTAAAAGCAATCTGATAAAGTAAGGGAAATCAAAGTTCACAAGGATGTGGACAGTAGAAGAAAAACCAGTTTCATCAGCAAGTATTTCAGAAACACAGGCGTCACGGAGGGGGTGGTGTGCAGTAGGGTTGGTTAGTGGAGGAGAGCAGGCAATGTAGGGTAGCCAAGAGCAAACCTGGGTGTTGGCTGGCCATTAGCAAACCTTGCTTTATTCTTGGCATTGCCTCGGACACATGACTTCCCCTCCACGAGCCTTGGCTTTTCCAACCATAAGATGATGAGGCCCACTGTATCTTCAAGGGCTGTTTGCTTCTGAAGTTTTTTAGCTGAAGTCAACCATGGAACCCCAGGGTTATACTGAGTGGTAGAAATAATCTGAAACAGTGCCTCTCAAAACCGAATGTGCAGGAGCCAGGGAGATGGCTCAGTGGAATAAGCGCTTCCCTGGCAAGCACAAGGGTCTGAGTTCAATCCCCGGTTCCTCGGGGGGGGGGGGGGCGGAATGTGCACACGAATCCCTTGGGATACTGGTGAAACGCTCATTTGGATTTGAGGGTATAGGGTAGGCCCAGAGCGTTCGCACTTTACTGAGGTGCCAAGCAATCCTCTAATGCCGTGGTCCAGATGACGCCTCAAGCAGCACAGCTATAGTGTAGTGCTTGTCAAACTGTGTTGGCAAAGGACCAGTTTGCACCAGTAGTCACACACTTACTTTAGTAAGATATATTAACTACAGATTACTAGGAACGGAAGAAAAGATGTACAAAACACAAGCCCACATTTTAGTAGAATCAACAGACAAAACTATTTTTTCACATTGTTATAACATTTTCTAAGTTCTTACTATCCATTTAGTCACTTAGTTCTTTGCTGCCTGAACAGAAAAGCTTGTAGATAGGGACTGGTCTGCAGACCAGATATGACCAGCTCTGATCTAGGCCACTTGCCTGTCTTATTTAAGAGGCCCAAATTAGGTGCAGCTATAATGTCTAAACTACCTCTTCCAGGTAATATTTCACTCCCAGATTCGATGTCTCACTTGATGGAGAATTTAACACTTTTATACAATAATGTTATTCAGATGTTGTGGCTGCCAAAAGGTGTTTTTTTTTTCTTCAAACTTCTAGTTTCCTCATAGCATCTCTAAATTCCAGTCCTGGATTGTATATTCCAAACAGGAAGGGGGCTGGATCAATTTCATGTCTTGTGTACTCACCCACTTCCCTACTGGGTGGCATAGGGTAGGTGCTTAGTAAGTATTCATGAAATGAATGAAGGGGCCATTTGGTGTTACTTACAGGACCATGCCCGTGGTAAAGGAAGGTGCGTGTGACTTCCTCCCAGCTTGGAAGACATAGTATTTACCCTGTTTTATACATTTCTTATGGTGAATAGAAGGCCAGTTTGACTATTAAAGACAACTGCTTGGCATCCCACTTTTACTTTGAAAGGATTTTAGGAAGCCAGGCAAAGATTTTACACATTTCAAGTACCAAGTCTTCATATTTAACTCAGATGTTCATTGCTTCAGGAGTTCAACATGTTATCTATTATTATTAATTATTAATTATTATTATTATTATTATTATAATTCTTCAGTAATGTGTTAGCTGTTATTCAGAGGATACAAATGTGGGCAAAACAAACATGGCCCCTGATTGCTTGAGATTTATAGTTTGGTAGAAGAGGAGGCTCTTTATTAATCCTATATGCAGCCATGTCGTTTCAGCCATTGATGAATACCATAAAGAAAAACCATGGGGCACGGGTATGATGGTGTATTGCAGAGGAGAGTGACCTAGCCAGTGGTTTAAGTATAGTTCCCTTGAAGATGTCATATTAAAACTGAATACAGATTCATACAGGGTTGACATGGGAGGTGACAGAGGTGGTGGAGTTGTATCCTAGTTGGAAAGAAGCATAGTGAATGCAAGAAATAGAACAAAAATTGGTGTAACTGGGAAGGAGATACAGTTCAGCAGCATAAGCACCTTCCTGGCAAGCACAAGGTCCTGAGTTTGATCCCTAGTTCAGACAAAAAACAAAACAACAACAAAAAAAATCAACGGTGTAACTAGAGTGGGCTATTGTGAGGATTTGTCTTTTTTTCTGGAAACACAGGGATTGATGAGAAGGTTGCAAGCAGGGTGACTACCATGTCCTATGCTGATTCCTTTCACTATAAGCTGTTTGAGTGTCCACTATGAGCCAAGACCAAGGTGGGAAGTAGAGTAGCCTCTGCCCTCTAAGGGCTTAGGAGTAACCTCTGCCCTCTAAGATGACACAGTAAGGCAGGAAGGAGAAGAAATGCAAAAACAAACATAAATGTAGCAGGATGAAACCCATACTATTAACAAGATGCAAAGGATTTCTAAGAGATCTAAAACAAATTCCTGGAAGTGGCATTTGAGCTGAGCTTTGAGATTATACAAACTGGGCATGCAAAGTTGGGCAATGGAATGACATCCTGGCCCGAGGCCAATTGGGTAGGATAAAATACAGTATGTGAGAAATGTTTTGCCGGACAGGCGGAGAATTTGAGTGTGACTAATGTTCAAGGTTAGCTTAGGAATGTAAGATTATATATGCAAAGGAGG